TTCAAAATTGTTTGATTCATTCATAACCAAATTTGATTGGGCTTATCAAAATTGTTTAATAGTATTCAAAATTGTTTGATTCAAATTTGTAAATCTTATTCTAAATTATTGGAAATTTATTAGTTGTACAGTCGATTTATAATTATATCTGCCTTAATTATAATTCTATTTCCAAACATGATTTGTAAATCAAATCAAATTTGTAATTCTTTATTATATTTTTTTTATAAAGATCTTAATGATTAACTTTTTACAGACATGATTTATAAAATAAATCGAATTTGTAAATTTTATCTTATTGTGAATTATTGAAAATTGATCACATGAATAAAAAATCAAATTGGTAAAAATGAAAAGGATTTTCAGATAAATACGAAAATTAGAAAAGAATGACAAAACTAAATAAATTTTTAGTTGAAGTTGAATAAACAAAACTTGATTTGAAGATGGAACAAAACATTGTAGGAAGCCATTGGATTTTTTTAATATATTATTAGTTGCAATTTATCTCAATGATATGTGAATTGGAAAAAAAAAAAAAAAAAATCACCTTTTGACAGATGGTTGGATGTATGTCTTGATTGTATATATTGTAATTGGGTGTAAACAATTTTATTTCATTTAATTTTCCATTATTAATAATTCGAATTGAAAATTTGTTTAACAATTAACAAATAACAATATCAATTAAAAATTTGTTTAACAATTAACAAATAACAATATCACTTTAACAATTAACAATATCCGATATTTTAGCATAATATTATCCGATTGTTTACTACATCACTTATCAATTAACAATATCTGATTTTCTTACCAAAATCTTATCATCTTAGTTAACAATATCCGGGATCTAATTTAAACAAATTACGTGGGCGGATTTCAAGCAAATTGCATGAGCGGGAAAAGGCAAATAAAAATCCGAAAATGGTAAAAAACGAAATACAAAAACGGGAAAATTACTTAAAAAAAGTAGGAAAATGAATTATTTATTTCAAATTTTTTGAATAGCTTTTCTTAACTACATTATATAGTAATAGATTTTATAAAAAAGTTGAACCTAAAATTCGACTTCCATACCTATACCAAAGAAAATTCCTTCAACTTATTTTGTTTTCATAATTTTCAAATACACTTCTATCTATATCAAATAAAATTCATACCAATATTAAGTCGGATATTTCATACCGAAACAAAATTTCCCACTTTATACATAATTTCGAACATGTTATGTGACTTACATAATATTTTATGTTAACATGTGCGTCTGGCATATATGACAAGTAAGTTTTTTTTTTTTTTT